CGGTGCCAAATCCCAGAAGACTACTTTCTTCATAGTCACCGCCGTGAAAGCCTCAAATCTTACATATGAAGAAATATTCCCTAAAATGGCTAAAATGACAAAAAAAACCTTAAAAGTCCAAAAGTTTACCAAAAAATTACCCCCAAACCGAAAAAATGACCTAAAAACTTAAAAATTACGAAAAATGACCTAAAAATTTATATTTCTGTAACCAGCAGCTCATCTCCGGGATTTATGTATTTACGGGTATCGAATAGGATACAAGGAAAAAAAGATGACGTATCATCAAAATCCGGGCCCTCGTAATCACTTATAATCTTAAAATGCACTAAATTATATTAGCGAGAGTCACTATTGTTAAATAAATATAAATGAACACAGGGCTCCTCGTGGTCCAGTTTATGTCTATATTCCTACTAAATGCTGCCAGGTTATTATTATGCCTGTTTAAGGTAAAATTGTCCGTGTGCCTAATTAAGTAAACACTTTGCCATGAAGGTGTATGGGGGAGTGGAGGTACAGGCCTATCTATTTTGACCTCGACACGCTACGGCCGCTTTACCCCCGTATAAAGAGCCTCGGGACCCTGTTTGATAGGAGGCTGGGTGGGTTCCAGAAACGGTCTGGACTCTGTGGTTCAGAGAAGAATTCAATTCTGTACTACTCAGAGTATTTTCTCCAGACCCTGAAAAGTTTTGTTTGGACTGAAGACAAATTAAGTAGAAATCTTATTTTATTTTTAAAAAGAGAGAATGCAGATTTTAAGCCACTAATCCCCACTGCACACTAGTTAGCTTTGTACAGGCGGCTAAGTATTATGTAAGCCTGCTTCTTACCCGTCCTAAGAACCCCACAAACACATCCGAGTGTTTGGGTTGAATCGCGACATCTGCATTTATATCAGTAACATTACAAAAGAGCTATAGAAGGGGTTGGACCTTACATTTGATGGCTCACTCGAAATATGTATCATTAACTACTAGTGGCTTCCTAGAAATCAGCTTTATAAACTCTTTTATAGTTGTGATATCATATGGAAATCTGTACATTTTATTCAGGGACTATTCCCTTAGTGATGAGACATACATTCCGGTCACAGTGGCCTTGCGGTCTAAGGCATGAACTGTCTTCGATCGCTCGAATGCTGGGATCATGGGTTCAAATCCCACTCAAGGCATGGATATCTGTGTATGCGTTCATTCTGTGTCCGTGTTGTGCTGTGTGCAGGTAGCGGCCTTGTGACGGGCTGATAACTCCTCCAAGGAGTCCAATCGTCTCTATAAAAAAGATTACGAAACTGAAGAAGATACCAGGGCCCAACAAAGGGCTGTAGAACCATTGATGGATGAATGAATGAATGAATGAATGAATGAATGAATGAATGAATGAATGAATTGGTGTACATAACATGTATTTAAACCCTAAGTGAAAAGGATGATAAGAAAAATTTAATTTAATTAAGCTTACAAATGGCAACGTTTTTTTCTAAATAAAGTGTCGTATGAAACCTAGCATAGGACTCTATTACACGCAACTATTTATTTAGGTCTTGAAATAAAACGATAACTCGAATATGGATGAATAATAATCTTACCGGTAGAATTAGGCGTCGTGTATCAAGTTTCAGTCTGTTAAAAGTTCTATAAGATGTAGGTATAAGTTAGTGCAGATCTGTCCCTTAAAACGAACCTAACCAACGAAAACAGAACAGTTGAACAAAATACGGGTATAGCAAGTGTCACGTAACTTCGAACAAGGCCAAGAGTAACCTTGAATGCGCAGAAGTTACGTGACACTTGCTATATATCATACTGATTTCTTCCATACTATTCATGTAATTTGGGGACTCCTGCTTGCAGATAGACGGAAATAACAGAAATACACTTGCTTTGCTTTGATGATTTTGATTGGATTCAGCTCTGTAGCGTGGAGACTAGTGATGACAAATTATGCCTCCATAACAAAAGGAAAGTTGGGGTTTCTAATAGTAGTAAACAGGTAGTGTATGCATGAAATAAGGAATCAGGACAGAAGAGTTACAGTGAGGGCTTCTCTGGAGTTTTCCACATGTTGTTCATGAGACTGTATATAGTTTTCTGTCCAATTACGTTTTTGTTTATCTACTGTAAGTATAAATCATAATTTTCGACGCATCTATTTATCTCTCTTGTTTCTTCTTTTCAGGAAAAGAACGTTCAGACGCCATCGTGAACTTCAGTGCTTTGAAATTTCCTCATAACTTCAAGTCCACGTAAAGAACATATAATTTATGACAGAAAGGAACAGCGTGCGACAACTTGGTTGATTTAGGTTTTCCTTTCTAAAAAGCTGAAACGAATCACAGAAACTTTCTTTTTTTAATTTCTCTTTTCATTTATCGTAAGCGTCTACACGGACTGACACGTCAGCCGACAGAGACCAGTGAAGCTGAAATCAATTTTCTACTTTACTTGACGAATTTTATGACGTTCCTCACTTTATAAGCTTCTAAGCCGATTCGTCACATCTCGTAATTCGAAAGAAGAGCGTGTGCATATGAATACACTCCGTTCGTGGCTTAGGAAATTTCTAGAAGTTTGCAGTGTACTTGTAAACCTCAGATCTAAAGACTTCCTTCCCCTGTCTTTATTCAATGAAGTTGAAATTTGCACTACGGAAACGTGTTTGTCTTTTGTGCCAGGTTAAGTTTATTTAAAGCGAAGACTTTCACACAGAAACGATATTCAAGTCTTCTATGAAATAAGTTCTGAGAAGTAACTTGTGCTATGTAAAATAAATTATATCGAAGGAAGGTAAGACACTCCCAGGTACAAACTTCATCCAAACTAACATTTCTTTACGAAAGTTTGACATTCATATAAGAGAAATTTTGGAGAATTTAATCCATATCAGACACACATAAACTTCTACTAGTCAATCAGATTCTATGTCAGGTGTAAGAAAGCAATAAAACTTTCTGTAAAATGAAAAAAAAAAAAATCAGTAATTTAGACTCACAGCACTCGTTATTATAATACAAAGAAATTAAATTGATGGAAATTATTTAATTGAGCATATGAAACCGAGTTCTAATTTTCAACCCCTATAAACCGAAGCATACATGAAATTCATGCTTTTTCATGCCGTGAAATGTACACAGAATCCTGTTGACCGTGTCAAGTGTTTAATATTTATGGACATGAATCAAGCATTTCTCTAATCCGCGATCTGTACTTCGAATTTAAACAAATAAATGTATTCTAATGCAGCGATGAGTGTGCAAACGTCAAATGCAATTTATTTAGGATAACAATTTTGTAGAAAAACGTAAATAAATATATAAATAGGAAGTGGAAGAATCAAGAAACTATAAGTTCTCACGCCATTTTGCGACCGCGCCATAAATCTCGAGATGAAGAGGAAGAAGGCAGCCAGTCAACCTTACAGCAACGAAACGCTCTGAGTGAGGCTCCACGCCGCCACTCCATGGCACTTCGTGACGTCACCAGATTGTGGTACTGTCTCCTTGTGCTTGTGGCCGGCCTACTTATTCTGGTGACTGCGGAAGTCTTCATGATGAAGGAGCAAAGGAGTGCCGTAAACAGAGCGTCCGGTTCCCGCGCGGTGCTGTTTCTGCGAGAGCTGTGCCTTCAGCCCCAAGTGAACGTCACAAGATTGGAGGGGCTCGCTGCCCAATACATCGCTTCGGTGGATGACAGTGACCCCGTACAACTGGATATACTCTCGAAGTCAGGTAGGTGTTTTATTGATCAAAGCAAGTTTAATAAAAATGTTACTTGAAGCAGATATTTTATATGTCGTACATATTTACTGAAAAACAATAAAAATAATCTCTGAATTAATGCAGCACATCTGTGGTTTAGTTTTGAATAATGGTTTTCATATGCAGCAATGCGACTCTGGAACACCAGCAAATCGTGTAACACCTCGTAGAACACATTTGGAAATTACGAGTTATTCAAACTGCATTAAGCTTTCCGCTCTAGTCTAATCGCCTGTTCTTGAGAACTTTCTGAATTTCTATTCCTCTGCAATAACAGGAGCATAATCGGAACCACTTATGTATTTACATAGATAACCATGCGGCAGACAGACTTTATGGCGTATCCAATATTCCTTACTTTTATAGACAGAAAGTCGAGGTCGTTATAAACGTCCGTGTAGTTACTATAGGATTCTGACGATGGTGTATAACACACTGATATATTGGGTTTCTGGACTTTATCCATCGTCCTAGATTTTAAGATAACAAAAAACACGACGTTTCGGAAACTGGATTTGTTTCCGTCCTCAGGTGAAGGAAAAGGGGAACACCTATTCTGTTGGGTCCGTTAGAAAGAGCTAGCCTTAATCACTGGACGCAGTGATTGTTATCTTAAAAACTAGGACGATGGATAAAGTCCAGAAACCCAATATATCAGTGTAAACGTCCGTGTGTTTGTGAGATATGAGTTTCTCATGTTGCCGACTGATAAGTTTATTGCCTTCTAATATATGCCATTGTAGTTAGTATATAGGTCGGCGGCGCCATAGCTCAAGCGGTTAGTCGCTGGCTTCCCACCGCGGCGGCCCGGGTTCGATCCCGGGGTCTGGTCAAGTGGGATTTTTGGTGGACGAAGTGGCGCTGGGGCGGGTTTTATCCCTGCAAATCTCAATCCCACAAAATTCTCCATCATCATAATCACTCGGGCAGGTACAATAGGCCAATCAGTGGCCGCCGTGCCCAGTGGACCCAGTTTGACTCCACCCCCTACTAAGCGAATTTAAAAAAAAATAATTTTTAGTATATAGGTAGCAACGCTTTGGAGCAAACTGTTCCTTATTCTTCAGGGTAGAAAATGACGACAGTACTTTCTTACTAGAAGTTGATGTTGTATATCTACCAAAATAAGAGGTGTTACAGTCCACAGGACCATAATTGTATGTTTATTTAATTTCAGGCATGGGCTCCACTTTAATTAAAGCTCATTTCTAAATTTATACAAAATATTCTAGCTTTGGTCTACATGTGTATTAAATTTTCTGTAATACCCTCTATTATATATCATTTTTAAAACTCTGCAGCAGGTTTTTGGTATTTCAATTTACACTGAAACGTGTAACAAGGGAGAAATCTGCGGAAAATAGGATTTATTTCCGGAAGAGGAAATTATTATTATAAATGATGGTCCATATTATTAACCTCGAGACAATGGAATGCAACTGAATGACATGAACCTCCCCACAGATAAAACTGAAGTGGTTTGGTAACAAACTTAAATCCAACGAATGAGACACCAGATTGAGACTGAGTGGTTAGAGCCAGTTAATCTGATATAATGTTGTCATTCGACTTTCGACTGAACTATAAATAAGCAGAGGCATTTTAAAACTTAATACCAAAACTTCAAACAGATCCGCAATGGATCGTAATATTTCCCCATTTTGCTAATTTTGATATAATTTTTGTTGCGTACTCATTACATCTTCAGAATGATAAAATCACCACATAATACATAACATTAAACTTTATACTATAACATTACATCTTCAGATATGGAATTACTTGTATCTGAAGTCACAAATTATGTCCCTATAACGAAAAATTTAAAGTGCTTGGAAAGTCTTATATGCGCATGTACATCGACCAGTTCCGTCAAAACTATCACAACTTAATCAAATAATCTAGTCTAAGCTCAGGTCACTGAAACCCTGTCTGAACTGATCTAAATTAACATAACATAAAGTATCGAATACTGATCTTAAGACACACGTGGAGGAACGGAGTAACGAGATTACTTTATTGATGCCTTTACATGTGCAGACGCTTTGGAGGACCGAGTGTTTCTTTTATACCAGTTATTACAGAATAAAATTGAGAACCTGAAACCGCAGTGAACAAAGCGTACAGAACGAAGTGTAATCCGAGGCTTGCACCAAAATAGGCTCTGACAACCAACATGTGACGTGTCTCGGCCACAATGGCGACTGTAAAAATGGCGGAAGCCCATGCTTCTATTGCATGTGAAAGCTAAATATTTAACATATACTAGAAGATGATATGAGGAGGCACGCGATAGCGTAATTGACTGAGGCACTACGCTACAAGCCAAAAGTCGCGGGTTAGATTCCCTATGAAGTCATTGAAATTTTCGATTGGCCTAATAATTCCAGCCACACTATGGCCCTGAGGTCGACTCAGCCTCTAGCAGAAATGAGTACCATGAATCTACCTGGGAGTAAAGAGCGGCTGGCGCGTAAGGCTGACAACCTCATCGCCATCTGTGAGATGATTGTGTATAAAATGTGGGAGCCTCGACGTCTGGCAACCCCATTGGCTTCCATGACCTGTTACAGGAATACCTTTACCTTTATTTACCAAATCTATGCCATGTAAGGCCTGCAAAGCAGCGGAACCTGAAATTAACTAATATACGAGGAACAGTAAGATACATTCAGGAACAAATTCACTAGATGAATTTAATATTGCAGATTTTAAGCCAATTAAGTGCCTACAGACGCATCAGAATCGAAGTATTCCTCGTCGATTACGTTTCACGGTAGAATAGAAGAGAAGAGGCCACATGTAACGGAAAATGAACGCCGACCCATAAACTGATATCAGATTCAAAGTTGCCCCTGATGATGACGGTATAGCATTACAGAGACAATGATGTCAGTATATGTGTACAGCACGAGTGTGCTGAAAACTGAAACCCTAGTTAAAACCCTGGTACCTGAAGCTAAGTGGACCTAAACATGCACCTAACATACCACGTAATACTTATCAATCTACGACAACGACAAAACTTGATGACCCCAAAAGCTACTCCTAATTTTAAGATTATCTTATAACTAAGGCACAATAGATCACTGTGGTCGCGGTGCAAGGGCCAAGAAGGCCCACCCCTTATACGTCTTATAACCAACTCTATAGCTCAAGTGTAACTAGGGTAGGTAATTAGATAACTGGAAGACAAAATAAAATCTTTACTTTCAAAGACAAAACTACATTTATAATTATGTAATTTTAAAATCCAAACTATATAAAAAGTTATCAGTTTTAATATATAAAAAAGAAAATTAAAAACTGTTTTGTTAGAGTTCTTAGTGTGTATTTATTATTATATTTAACAAAAAGCATAGTATTCACTATCAAAAATGAAACAAATGTGGTTCCATATTAGAACGCAATTCAAGATCTAATACTGAATTCTTATAAGTACGCTTGATGATGACCTCTTGAAGGTCGAAACATGCGACGGAAAATCTTTGCATAATAAACGAATGGTGACACATTAGTATCGATTTGTCTTTGTTGACATTCACAAATATTATTTCTCTGTAGACGGCTCCATATGTGATAGCACAATCAAGCTTATTCTTCTTTAAGAAGCGAACCTAATCTCGCTCAAGTATTACTTAAACCTGTCAGCTGAACTAATGTAAATGAACACAATACATGCTTTAAAACAAGATACGACTATGTATAGATATATAGAGAGGCGATGCATAGAATTCGAATAACATGACAACGATACATTTACCTATGCAAAAGCTTGAAATCAGGAGAAGCACTTTGATTCCGTTTCACAATGAAATGGGAAGTCGAAACCATACAGAGTTGTAAATCGACGCCAGCGCTAAAGTTCGTTCAAATGATGAGCATGTCATGGAACGGGAACAATGATGACTATTCTGGCAGGGGCTCATGCATCAACACGACATGGGGAACTGCAATTAATACTGTAGCGTTTTCAGAAAGACCCGTAGAAACACGAAATCCAATTTGAACGTATATATTGCACATTAATCTCGTGGGCTTCAAGCTTACATAACCGGCCAACCAACGCAGACGGGCCCAGTTCATTCAAACAGAGCACGTCCGCTCTCTTCTATAGTCACCCTGTCCAGTTCATCATCAACAGATCATCACGTCTGATGATACATAACCGAGACAGTCGGTGGCACGCGGTAGTGTATTTGGTTGAGGCACTGTGCTACAAGCTGGAAGGTCACGGGTTCTAGTCCCGATGGGGTGGATTTTTTTAATTGACCTAAACCTTCCAGCCGCACTATGGCCCTGTAGTCGACTCAGCCTCTAACAAAAATGAGTACCAGAATTTTTCCTTGGGGGTGAAACGCGGCCGAGGCGCAGGGCTGATAATCTACCGCCATCTGTGAGCCGATTTTCTAGATAATGTGAGAGCCTTGACGTCTCACAACCATATGGGCCTCCAAGGCCTGTTACAGGGATAGCTTTACCCTTTTTAAACCGAGACAGTTAAGATAGTGTCGATGAATTAATAAGGAATCGTTTGGCTTCCCAGATTCTCTTTACATCTACTGATCAGCAGTAACATATGAAATTTAATCTGACCAAGCTGATGTAGCAGTAGGATTTTCTAAATGTGAATTCTAAAGGAGTCCGATTCGAATCTCAATCCAGGCACCGGAAATCCTGATTGAGGTTTCTCGTAATTTCCAACAGTCCTTCATTGCCGAAGCCAGGACTGCTCTCTCCCAAATTCTTTCCCATGTATTTTCATCAGCCATCCAAAAATTCGACGCCGTGTAATGTAGATACTGAGAACGCCATAAAATTAAAGGCAAGAGAAAGAAACTTCAATTCTCACAATTAATATGAGGACCGAAGTGTTCATCCCTTCTCTCGAACTGATGCTGGAAGTTAGTTATATTTTCTGCCATCAGTTTCCCAATGTGTAACATTTAATTTCTATTTCGCCTACTATG